TAAGTGGGAAAAAAACCAATCAAGTTTCCTTTTTTTTCACTGTATTTTCATCATACTAGCCTAAGGACTCAGACTAGTTGAGACAAAATGAGTTAATTTGGCAGATGTTCGACCAATTTACAGTCATAGCATCTTTCAGATCAGAGGCATTAAGGACAATAATTCAAGGTTTCTTTAGAGCAAAACGGGTTCTGCAGAGCTTTCATTGGAGATGCTTTGGAAGCAGTCCCACTTGGCTTTCAAAATGAATTTGTAGGCATCAAAATGAGACAGCGTCTAAAGGAAGCACACGTAATGCAACAGTTACTGATGAACAACCCGAAACCCTAACAAGACTATTTTCAATGCAAATGTTTCTAAACCTAGAATGCAGTTTAGCCACAGCATTGACATTTAAATGGAAACAGGGCACAATTCAGTAAGGGTAAATCTGAACGTTTGCGCCAATTCCTTTTTATCAGACATTATCTTTCTTTGTCAATGTCCTACGTATGTAGCAAAATATATACACATATGTGTATGTATTTCCATCTAAATATTGAAGTCTGAATTATTCCATCAAATGATCATCTTTGATTTCTCTCTTCTTTTATTCTCAGTACACATAGAACTCAGCCATTACTAACTTAGCTGCTTTACTGTAAATTATTTGTTGGGCAAGGCTTACTGTATATTCTTACCATAAGAATGAACAACTTGGTCATGAGTCAGAAGAGCTTAAACCACCATGAACAGAAAAGCTGATGAGAGGTTCTAAAGGATGCAAGTACAATATTGGAAATATTAGCTCAGGACTTGAAAGCCGGTCTACCCTGACAACACTACTTCCAGTTTAGGACCTGTAACTCATTCATACACCTCCACACCTGTCAGCTCCACATTACCCAAAGGAATGATGTCCCCTTTACGTTAGGAATTCCGCGCTTTGTTAGAAATGTACCAACAGCCTCAATTAAAGGGAGTTTTCTGTTTAAATATCCATCTTCTAGTGGGTCATAGAACTGCCTCACCATATGGCTTCTCATTATTTTTAATGATGTATAAGATGCAGTATATGCTACTAAAAGAAACTCGAGAAAAGCATAGATGATGAAAAGAAAGACATATGGAGAAAACACAAGCAGAAAAGCTTGAGAAAATAAAAATAAAAATCTAAAATAACAACACATTCCTTTGCAAAATCAAGAGCTCACAATAACCTTGTGGGCACTAGAAGTCTCACGGTACCATTGCCTAGTTGTGCATGCTCATTTTGAGAGGTAAAAGTGTTCACAGCATAATGCTGAAGACATACATGTCCCTTTATCTTTAAATCACACAAAACACAAGGATTTACAGTGCATAAAACCCATTCTGAATAGGCTGCTAAATTGGTACTAAAAGTCAAATATATCAGCTGCCTGGGGAGCTGGACAGCAGCCAAGCATCCCAAGTTCAACATATATAGGATCCCTATTCGTTCTTCCTCATAACATAAATGATTACAGCTACTCTAACTGAAAGATACTCTTAAAGCATCTTCCATAACGTTTGCTCTGCCCAATTATTTAAGCTGATTCTCACTTTAGCAAACGGGAATAATACTCAACAGAGCAAAGTACAGCAAAATATTCTGGACTGAAAAGTTGAAGTACAAAATATTCAGTGTACTTACAAGGCAAAAGGCACAGTAAGTGCCAGGACTACTGAAATACCTGTTTTGAGCCCCTGCAGAAATCGGACTGGATTTCTGAGTGTTCATAGCAAGAATATGACACAGATTCCCAATTTTCACTTTTTCTAGTTAACTGTGAGTACTGTTAAATTTGCCCTTTGCTGTGGTCAACTCAGCATCAGACCACACAAAAACACAACTCAAGCAAAATTACTTGAAAGAGTAATTTATGTTCACCAATTATTACAAGTTTAAGCCACATTTCTGGAAGATGAACCACTCATTTCATGCAAACATCACCTCTGAATTCTATCTTTGTTCCCCAGTCTCTGATTTAAGATAGACTAATTAGTGCATTTTCCAAGCATGGCATCTCCATTGTATAAATACGAAGCATTCGGTTATTTTAGAAGTTTAAAGAAAAAAATAAAGACTAATATATAGAATAATCCCAACGTGTCTTTGGCTTCTATAAGAACTCTACAGTATGTTGGTCAAAACAGTAACTTGGATGTGGTTTTCCAGAAGAGTATTAAGAAGAGTTGTCATGGCCTGTATCACAATTGTTTCCATCAACATATTGCAGACAAATAGAAAATGATGAGATTCATTCATTAAGCCTTTGCTTAGATGAGAAAATAACTTTACTTGCAAGTCTGCCTTCTCAACTGCTTATTTAAAGATCTGGCAAATCTCAAATTGGCTGTTACAGAGTTACAGGGTTTGATCTACTATAAACTGCTGTAACAGATAAATATGTACAGCAAGCCAAAATACTAAAACAAAAACCTCCACAAAACTCAAAAAGGCCCAATAAATAAGCAGCCACAATCTCCTTTCTTTTAAAAACAAACGTAAATCTTGCAGTGGTTATTGCTGAAGATTCGAGTACTTTGAACATGGTAATAAATGCAGTACAGATCATCATTTCAGCTGCAATTCTAAACAGTAAAAAGGTTGTCCTGGTCACAGATGAACTATCATTTTTTTCCAGTTCTTCAGCCTAATCACCTCACAGGTAAGGACAGAATGCAGAAGTATTCACTACAGCAAAGACACCAAACCAAATTTCTAACCTTCGATACCTTACAGCTAAATCCATCTTTAGTTACTAAAATAAACATCTGGACCTACCAATAGATTGGTCACTTGTATTACTTCTCCACAAAAATCTGAGCCTTTAAGCTACTCTGTAGTCTCTCTCTTTGGTTACCAGGAGACTGCCTATTAACTACTACTTTCAGGGCAATGTTTTCCATATCATAGGCTGAGGAGCCAGAAATACATCAACCCGATTTTGTCCAGTTGTAGTCTTTTTGGAAGGCTGAAGAAACCCAATAAAAAAGTAGTATTGAACCATTTGCTTTAACTAGCTGATGTACCACATTCACTCCTGAGAAACAGCACAAACATAAGTGTTCATCAGGTTACTATTCTATGCTGAGCTATATCCACACTAAGCTAATGAAACGGGTCATATACGGTACCACCCGTTCCCAAGGTTTTGCAGTTATGTTTATGAAAGGTTAACAGCAGGCACTAATACAAGTATCATGACTCTTTTCAGGCAGTAGGTGAAACCTTGAAGAAAAAGTGGCTCTGTCTTCAAAAAAGTGACCTGACCTTTGCTTTGGTGGGTTTTTTACTCTGCAAGAAATAAAAAGCACTGCATGCTTTCCAATGCATCCTTTCTACCTGATAACTGTTTTGGTCTATCACTCAGCACAAAAGGACTAAGTGTTATAAAAATCAAGTAGCATGGTAATAGTGCTAAAGATTGCTCCACATGTGATTCAATAACGGAGCTTCATAGACCTGAAATGCATCATATGAGTCATGTACAGAATAAATACATAATTGGCCAAGAACCTTTGATATGCTTAGTAATTAGAAGTAATTTTCATTTATTTAAGTATATTTAAATTAAATTTACCATGACCTTGCAGTTCTTTGGATATCAAAGGCACCATTACTCCAGCATGCTTATGACTTACACACTTTTGCTCTGTGAATTTCTTGCAGCATGCAAAGAACTCTCTTTAGGGTAGCAGGTTATGTTGCACAAGCAAGGAAACCTATTAAGGATCTGTCAATTAATAAAATCTCTTCTAAAAAACACAACAGTATGTTAAGTTCTTACATGCAATAGATGAAATGTTTCTGAAAAACCGTATAGTCATATAGTTCAGCATAAAGAAGTTGTTGTGTTTGTGTTTTTTTTTCTTTTATATTGGACACTGAATACTTTGCTAGAGGAAGTAGTTCCATTATATGCTATGGTAGTAAAGAACCCCTTCTGTTAATAAACATTTAAATATATTCAAGTGTAGTGGAAAATGCTGCTTTTATGGAGTCAGATCCTGCAGTCTTCGCACAGCTAAAACCTCTACTGAAAACAATGGGAGCTTTACAAGTACAACAGTGAGGATGTGCCTGGGGTCACCAGCATAGCACGGTTCTGCTGCTATGCTCAGTGCATGATCAGGCATCCTCTGCCACTTCAAGAGTAATAGAAATGAAAATACAGATACTTACACAAATTCAAGAAGATTAATACCCTTTTAAAGCAAAGAGTTCAGCTATAAAGTGTGTGGCAGATAACATTAAGGCATTTTGTGCTTGCTTAAAATATTAAATTAGATGTGAATATATGTTTTTGACTCTTGATTCAAAAAAGAATGTATCTGAAGTGCATTTTAAGAAAAATTTCTAATAAATTACATCAAGTTCAATGATTTTTTGGAAGATGCATAGCATTATGACAGCAGAACTTGGCTCCATATATCGTTAGCAAAAACACAGAGTTTATATCATGTAAGCTGCTTTTTAAAATATTGCTAGAGTTATTAAAAGCTTTGGGCCCAGCCCTATAGGTTACTTCCAAATTTAAGTGAGAGTTTGCCTCAGTGAAACACAAAGATTTGTTCCTCATTTGCAACATCAGCCTTATCCAGTGTTTTAGTGGTAAACAGGTGTTCTGTGGTAACCAAAATTAAATCGAGGAGCTGATCACACAGCCCTTAGTCATTCGGACACCTACCCTGCAAAACATCCCAATCCTTCAAATTGGCCTGGATTACTCTGGCCAGCCTGGCTGCAGCAAGGCAGCAGGAAATACTTCCGTTGACTTCAGTGGGGCAACTCTAACAAATAACAAGACTATGGCTAGACACCACGACGCTAACTTAGAGGCTCACTGCTGATTTATTGTTCTTTTTGAACAGTGTTTGTGCGTTCCACGTCGACCCAGACCTGCCTCCTGCAGTACGCGCCGTCTCGTGTCGCGTCGCGCGGGTGCCGCTCGGGCTGCTGCTGACTCGCCCTTGTTGGTTTCCCTGTTGTAGGGGAAAGGCTCTAGGGCGGCAGATAAGGCTGTTGCTATGGTGATGAAGGAGATTCCGAGGGATGAGGCTGCAGAGGAAAAGCCCCTCCTCACTATGGCGTCACAGGTGGGCGCAGCGCGGGGCTCAGAGCACGCGGCCCCGGCCGGCACAGCGGGGACGTGCATTGCGGCAGCGTGGGGGAGCTGCTCGGGGTCAACAGCTTGGGGTTGAGACATCCTCACGTAAAAGTTAAACAAAGACATTTTTTTCCCCGTTTGATAAAAAGATTCTTAGAAATTTCAGCAAGTTGCCTAAACCTGATTCAAAATACCAATTTATAAAGCCAGCAATCATGCAACCTATACTTGTTCCATATTCAGCACATACGCAGAGGAAGAATCACTCCACAGTAGTATTTGAGATATTTCAGAGTCATCCCTAGGCTCCCAGTGGTCCAAGGCAGATTATCACTCTGTACATCCTGCTTCCATTCCCACAAGCCCAGTCGCTGGAAAGACGTAACTGCAGTGCACAGAGCCCCATGTGTTAAGGTGCCAACAAGCACCAGGTGGACCCCTTATGGACCCCTTACCTGATGGAAGTCAGTGGCTGCAACACTGCCACACAGCACAGCACTTCCATCTCACTCCAACAGTGACTCCATTCCCTCGCGGTGTCCACATCCGTGAATGTACTGAACACCCAACGCTGCTTCTGCTCTAACTCTGTCTATGAACTGACAGCCCAAAGGAAAAGGTTGCTCTCTTCAGTGCGCCATTTCTAATTTTGCCCTTAATTGTTGATGAACAATTAGAAACTAACACAAAATGCTGCCCCTTCCTTCCTAAGCGCAAAATTTTCGTTTGCTTCAACGATGTTTAACGTTGAATGTTTATGCACCATTTGTACCAGTTGTCTGTCAGTCTACTCAGCAATTGTGTGATACATTTATGAGTGAAATGTATGTCTGTTAGTGTAATTTCTTCCACTAAATGCAAATTCCAACTTCCCTGCTATGCACCAAAAGGGTGCAGAAGCCAAAAGGAAGCAGAATCAAGTGAAAAAGTGAGTATTTTCCATAGCCATCTCTGCATCATGTCCATGTGACGTACAGCTCCATGACCATGCCGCATACATCATTTATACCCTAACTGTCTGGATGCCATGTTGTTTTGAGACGCTGTCTCTTTAGTGTGCCTGTGTAAACCTCTTGTTCAGACCATTCATTCAGAGTTACACACTGGTATATTGTGGAACAAATTTAACCATCACCATCAGTGTTCATCTGGGCTCTCCCACATGATGAAACAGATATGGTTGCCACACACAGTGGGAAATGTGCAAGTTCCAAATTGGCTGCAAACAGAATTCCCACGCCAGACTAAATTAAGTCATGAAAATAAGGCCTGGTATTTCAAAAGTGATCAAGACCACTGAACCCAGTAGTGGCATGTATGTAGATAAATTTCTCTCTCAGGAATTTCATTACATATTGCCCTGCTTCACCTCTCAGAGTACAGCTAGCTAAGCAACAAAATCTGTCAGCAGAACACTAGGATTGAGCCCAGGTAAAAGAGTATTTGCCTTTAGAAAAGTAGATTTCCTAAAATCTTCAATGAATGGAGAACTAACCATGTCTGTCTATAAAAGCAGACCACCAAAGAAGCATAGGGGGAATCTCAGAGGAGATTCTCAAAGAGGAATTCCAAAAAGAGGGGATGCCAAATCCTTGTTTAACTGAGAAACAGTGATAATATAGAGAAGTCCCTGAAATCTTACGTTTTCCTCTCTTCCTCTAAAGAAGATTAAAACCAAATATCCAACAGAGAACAGTTCAGGTACGCTCACATTTTATTAGCTCCTACCTAAGCCCTGTTTGTAAAATAACCTTACTTGCTGATGAGTACTCAGAATGAATTAAATTTTGACAAAGTTTCCAACTTGGAATTTATTTTATATCAGATCTCAAGGCAAATCTTCAAATAAACTGAGAAAGTACTACAGATTCCTGTGGGGCTGTTCTGATACATGGCAACAAGGAATCTGAACAATCATTCCAGCATTAACGAATCTACTACAGTAAGCAGAGGGGTATTCTTGGTAATTGAATATGCCTTTCAGCACCTATTTTCTGTCATTCTATCCCAATTATTTTCAATGAAAGTCACTTTATTGGTAAGAAAAGGCATTCAGTAGTTGCCAGAGTTCATACTTTCAAGCATCAAGAGAGCTTTCTACACTAATGGGATTTTGTAGAATATAACTCCATAGTAAGTCACTGTCTCACTTTATCTTTTAAAGATAATTGAGAAGAGATTGGAACAAATGAAAAGAGGCACTTTTGGCATGAATAAATCTAGACAAAAGCAAAAGCAAGTTTGCTGAAAGTTCAGAAACTAATGGAAAGTGAAGCTGTGAACAAACATACATACTGCTAACTGAAGCTAGGATAGAAATTATGCATTATTTTCTTATTTATAAGGCACATATGAGAAAATTGTGCATAGAAGTTTGATTTCAATTCTCAAATGTTTTTGTTGAAGCTCTCCACAACATTTTTGGCAGGAGAAAAAAAAAAAAGCACCCTTAAAAATTATTTCCTAATAACTTTCTAATGAGAAGTTTAAACCTTAATAGTCCCAGGCATCAAAGTTTGATGATACAGTCCACTATGAATTCCCCATTTGCTACAGGTCAGTGAGCTTCAAAGGAGCTGATTCAATAAAGTACTTTGATCCACATTTAAACTTCAAAATACGATAAATTGCTTTATAGAACAGTAAAAAGTGCATGATATAATGCACTACCAGCCTGATTTTAAACAAGTAAATCTCAAAGTGTCACGAGTTATTTGTTCCATATTCATCAAACCTAATTCAGATTCTTCAACAGAACTCAAATTGGAAAGCTACTGGCAGTAGGAGCCTTTTAAGGTGATAGAAGGAAATAAGACCTGCAGAAGGGGATTCATGTCCAAGATGATCCTGAGGCAGATACACTGTTATTACATAGTAGACTGGGAGTCCATTAAATATTCTCCAGCAGGAAACAAGAAATACCAATTCTGTATTGAAAGCTATCCCAACTTCTGTTTATAACTGAAAAAAAGGGAGAATCATAGAGTCACCAAGGTTGGAGAAGGCCTCCAAGATCATCCAGTCCAACTGCCCACCTGCCAGCAATCCACTGAGCCACATCTCTTAGTACAACATCTAAATGTTTCTTGAAGACCTCTGGGGATGGTGACTCCACCACCTCCCTGCGCAGCCCGTGCCAGTGCCAAACAACTCTTTCAGAGAAAGAACTTGTAGGAGAGAATCATAGAATCATAGAATCATAGAATCACCAAGGTTGGAAAAGACCTAAAAGATCACCCAGTCCAACCGTTCACCTATTCCCAATAGCTCCTACTAAACCATGTCCCTCAACACAACATCCAGCCTTTCCTTGAACACCCCCAGGGTCGGTGACTCCACCACCTCCCTGGGCAGTCCATTCCAGTGCCTGACCACCCTTTCTGAAAAGTAATACTTCCTCATGTCCAGCCTGAATCTCCCCTGCCGTAGCTTGAAGCCATTCCCCCTGGTCCTATCACTGATGACACGAGAGAAGAGGCCGACCCCCAGCTCACTACAACCTCCCTTCAGGAAGTTATAGAGAGCAATGAGGTCTCCCCTGAGCCTCCTCTTCTCCAGGCTGAACATTCCCAGCTCCTTCAGCCTCTCCTCATATGGCCTGTGTTCCAGACCCCTCACCAGAAGAGCTGTCTGCTTACTGCACAGGCATTGCTCAGAATAAAACCTTGGTATTGACCACTTATGATTTAAGAACTTAACATACAGAATGCTTCATTTTAGAATTTGAACTCAAAAGTGGAAGTTTAAAGAGCTGAAGTTGCATTATTAGAATAAAACATGCTGAAGTTCAGCGTGCCCCATAAGAAGTGTAGGCTACGACACAAATACTCCACAGGGAGATCTTTTGTGACTACAGGCCTATTAATTACATCAGAAACGTAAGGTTCTTTTTAAATTTTGTTTATTCTTAGAATCAACATATTTGTTCTTATCCATATTAGAAGGAACATTTTTTGAAAGTGAACTTCAACCTCCATGCCATTGGTGGACCAGGCACCTTTTCTTATAACTAAAGATACTCAAATATTTCCAGTACCTACATTCCAGTTGTTTGGATGTTTTCTTGTTGTGTTTGCTTGCCTGCTTTCTTGTTTGTTTTCCTTAAATCTAATATGTAAACTGATGAATTCTATAGAGGATACAGAATAGAGATACATACTCTCTTAGTAGTAAATTAAGGCATGTATCAAGAGCTCACTATATGAAATTGCATAACAGTTTTCCATATAGAAGTTAACAGTCCTATCTATTCAGAATCAATCACATTTATGCTAAGCCTCTTAGCATTAGACTTGCACTGAATGACAGTAAATGTTTCCTAAATAACATCAGAGCAGAAGGGCAGGGAGTTGAAGTGAATGTAATGAGTTTCTCTGCAACATTTCTCAAGTAGAAGTAACTTCATTTTAAGTAATTCATATACATTAGTGTAAAAAAAAAAATCCCAATTTCAGGAAATTTCAATAACTCTGGACAATAGTTCCTACCTGCCTTCTGAGAACAGTGGCAATTTCTAGAATGATTTCAGGGGAACCTGATCTGTAATGATATTTCTGTATTCCTTTTACAGGATTAAAGATAAACTAATTAGCAGTGTTTTCTATACATCTCAAACCAGTCTAGATTAATATATTATTAATAATAATATGAGCACTATAAAGTACAAAGCATGTACATGCATGCTTAGCAGTACAAATATTAATTAAATCTTTACCTCCAAGTTAAACATTGCTTAACACTTTGCTTCTAGGGCAGTGTGTATAATTTCAGTGGAAATATTCTCATGAGCATAGTAAAGAAAGTTGCCTTGACAGTATGCTTAAGAGTCATAAAATGGCTGCTTGCCTGAAGTTATCCAAGTTTCTCTGTCAGAAATTAAATACATTTTTCCATGAAATAAGTTTTACCATGGGAATTTGTAGTGTAATTTTTTCATAAAACAAAGTTTATTATACTGTTTAGTTTTTTAAAGTGTGCAGCAACTCCATA